ATTGTAGTCGTTATGACGAAGTCTCGGAAGCAAGGCTTCCTGTTTCTGAACCATTCGATATCTAAGGTGCGTGGGTCGCCAGTTATTCGAGCACCCAGATTGTTAGGTTCATTTCAAGGAGACTGGGAGATATCAGTCTTTTGCGGAGACAAATAGGTTCAGCAATTGTAAGTGGCGCAATCGGTTGCACTCAATAAAGGTCAGACTTTCGTGGAGCGACCTCAGCTGGCTCAGCATGGAACGTCTGTCGTTTCATAAAAACGGCTAAAAACAAAGCTTCAGGAGCGGAGCTGGGAGAGAGCCATGTAGGATTCAGGGCACGTCCTACGTTGGGGAATACCTGAGGGTGGGGTCGTATTTCGTCGCTGGAGGGAGGGAGGACGTATGTGGTCTGACATAATTTTTTTTAGATAGCTGATATTTCCTGTTTCACGGAGTGGGAGAATTCCAGTGAGTGGTGTGGGGTTGTATTCGCCCTTGAGAGGAATTTGCTATCTTCTCCGGTTGTTGGCTTTCGCGGTTTTTTCCGTTTCTTTGGTGCTGTATACCCCTCCCCTCGCCCCCTCCCCTGCTGGACGGCAGAATTTTCGTGAAAACCGGAAAACTGTGGGGAAGATTGATAAAATTGGAAGGGGGCTCGGGAAAGGGGAGGGAGGCCGTAAGAGGGCAAAATTGAGAGGAGGGTGGGTCGTACCTTGCAAAGATTTCCCCTAACGACAGGACGTGCCCTGGTAGGATTACTCAGTGATTTCGAATATCCGATAAAGGCTAACTGGTTGTAGGGACTGACATCGGGCAACTGTGATGTCTAGGTTCAAGTAGACGGCTTGACAAGCGGATAGACGTCGAATACAGTCATTGGGATGATTTCAGTGCCATATCAGGTAGAAGAATAGATATGAGCAGAATGACTCTAGCTGGTAAAGTAGTTGAAGGCAGTTGGCACAATGAATCCCTGGACGAGTAGGATCAATACAACTAGCAGGACGGAATTCCGCGACCGTGAGCAACCGCTTCTTGGCACCTCTTCAAGGAATATACCCTTATAAGGCCCTATCAAGCTACAACATACCGACCCGAACGCCCACCACGCCCGCCCGCCCACAAATGGACGACCGTACCTGATGCTCGTATTGCTTCATTTGCTAAGTAAAATATGAAGCGAAGGGATTGGTATGAAGCGGCTGCGGTGCTGCATGGATATATGAGTACATACTGCAGCCGTACCTACCGTAGCGGTTATTGGCAAGATGCCTACGGGAAACTCGTCCAAAATTGCTTTTTGAGTCATTAAGAACGAAGGTTTTTTTCGCAAGTTTTTGACCGTTTCACTTCGTTTTTCGCCATTTTCACGCTATATAGGCCCTTGCTAGCATTTTAGACGGTACTAGATTATCGTGCAAACTGCCTTTGAGGCGATAATTTACAGTGGAACCTGTATACACTTTGTATTCCGCTGTGAGAGGGGTAGTAATTGTGAAAGCAATGTCGCTCGAGATAGCGGTAACAAGGTCTCTGCCCCTCACAAGATTACTCGACTTCGCCATTGTTCAGTTTAATAAGTTGAATGTCTAGGTTCCAAATGCGAAAACAAATTTTTCGTTAGCAGAAACTACAAGTTTTTCCGAGAGCACTGCCATGCGCTTCACTAAATACGCAATTACGACCAGTCTATGTTCTCCTGGATACAGTGTGAATCATGAAGAAATTTTATCAGATCTTTTTTTACAGTACGTCTTAGATCCACCGTAGTCGAGCCACAGTCAATATCGTCATCTTCGATGGATCTTCTGCCCATTTAGGAACGCGATTAGGCCCATGGCTAGCAGTGTTCCTATAGGATAACTGCCTCGGAAAGCTTGGATGGTCCATGCTAATCCAAGGTTTTCCCATACCAACTGCGCGTACTAACACTGCACATGTCATCACTACACCTGCTTTCGTGCTCGTGATTCTTAGTAGCTATCAAGTTGTCTAACGTGTTCAACGGGACTGAGATTTCGCTCCTATCCCCTAAAAGTCTAGATCTCCAGCATGATGTAAAGTTGTTCGCTTATTTTTGGTGCGTCTAATGGCAGGTATCTGTCGGCACAATTACCAGCGCACTCCGGAAACGCTCAGAAGGATAACTAGCATCGATCAGCCACGGAAACTGATGTATCTTGCAGAGTTCTACGTCGCAGTATATGGCCCACAAAAAACCTCTCAATAGTTGACAATCAACCAATTGGTAGAAAATTGACAAACCTGCAGCAACAATTATATAAGGATCCTTTATGAGCTGTCTAATGGTCGAACCTTCTGGCTCACCTCGATCAACCTTTGGCTGAAGGATGAAAAATTGTAATGCTGAAATCGTGTCGTGTTTTTTTTTGAAATTTTTTCACACTAGGACTCACTTACTTCCATCAAATAGCGCTAACAGTGCAAGTATGATGAATGGAAGCGCTTTTCCTGCCCATTTGTAGAGCAGACCGCCATAAGGTGGTCCAACCAAAACCCCTAAAGCGATACCACCTAGTGCGATGCCCATGGCACTGCCTCTTTCCATATCGTCGGGATATGCCTGAGCAAGCATTCCCATACCTGAAGGACTAATAGAAGTTCAAAAATTTACCAAGGTACAACGTACAAGTAATAGATGAGAATTTACCAGATGTACTTGTACATGCAGAACCAATTCCCTGCATAACTCTGGCGAACCACAGTGTACCATAAGAAGATCCAAATGCGAATAGGACTGTAGATAAGAACATTATAACGAATCCCGCAAACATCGGTAAAGTGTACCCGATCCTGAAATAATAATTTTTTTGCAAGCGCATCCCCTTATAATCACTGAAGACTCACTTATTCGTGAGAGGACCTATCCACGGATTCGCAATCAGTTGAGCCAGAGCCTTCGAGCCAAACATCAGCCCAACGAGAACGTTTTCCTTGGCTAGGATTTCATGTCGTTCTTGCTTTTGACTTGACGAAACCGTCAGTTGAGTTGGTGAAGGTCGCATTCTCGGCCTGTCAAATGAGATATAGCATGTATAGTGACTCGGAAGTGTAGGCCAAAGTCTTTGGGGACGTGGCAGGAAAATCGTAATTCGTCGCACTGGTCGGCGTCGCGTACGACGTAGCGCTTGCGTATGTCAATGTCTGTAGGTCATGGATGGCGAAAATAGGCAATGCATAACCGAAAATAGTCTTGAAAAGATAAGGTTAATAGGCATACATAAAATTCGGCGCTCCAGTCGACAGGCTAATGAGAAAACCCGCGCTTCATCGCCACGCGCGACGAGGCGGCAAATTGAGATTGTCTTGACCGTCATTTAAGCGATAGTATGCCCTTATTCTTGTAGGATATATCAAAGGTTCAACACACCACTGCGCCCGTCGAGAATTCAAGTTGACCAAATACAGGGTGCGCCATAAGTATGGTAACAAGGTAACTGTCGCTTGAAAGTAGTAATTCTGGAAAAACCACGGTACCCTTTCAGGACCACTCTTGATTCATGGCAAAAGAACAAGCGGAAGGTCGACCGATTCATTGCTCTTCGGGTACACTCCACAGACTGTTCACATAGTCGACGACTGTGACAAGCAGTACTCTTTGAGGAATTCAGTACTCTATCAGAAATGTTGTCTCAGGTTCTCTACGGCTACTTCTCCTTTCTACTTCTCTTCTTCTTCATCCCTTGCTACGAAGAGTGTTATCACAAGAATAGACCGATGGGCAAAGTGGATAGAGCAGACGCCCGGTCACCTGGAGGTGCCGGCTCGAGTCCTGCCTAGGGTCTGACTTTTGCCCATAACTCAGCATTCTTGTGATAACTTTCAGAGCGCGAACTGTGGCGTTAAACAGCAGTTATCATACTGAAAACAGAATGGAGCAGAGGTTTTAAATTGATCCACAACAATATCTTTCGGCAGTAATCCCAGATGTGAAGGCCTCAGGATACTGATGCTTCATTGAACAGGAAAAAAGCGTTGTCGATTAAGGACCACAAATTTGAGTCGAAAGCATACGGCAATGAGTGTAACATACGATTTAACTCTTCCAATCAGTTTCGTGACTTGTAGAAGAAAGCATGCAACTGTTCCAGAAGTCGAAACCCTTTTCTCTGTTGTATAACTTTATGGACTTTGTGATGATGTGGCGCCGCGCAGCAGAAAGACACTTTCCCTCTTCTACCAGCTTCTTCTCGTCAGGAACGTCGCTAAACTCCCGAAACTCGCAGTACTACTGTCCTAGCTGCTCATTAACAACTTTTTTCGAACGAGGTACTAGCTAAAACCTTCGGTTCAGCAGTCATTTTTCTCATTGATTGCCTCGGTGAGACCTCGACTTTTCCCTAGATTCTTCTCCGGCTGATGATTGAAGTACGCTCCGTAGTGCGGAAAATAGCGGTTCATCAGGTTTAAAGGCAGCGTCCGCGTTCAGTTGAGATTTTCCTCTCCCTTCGTGAGCAGGTAGTCAGGTCCGCAGAGGCAACAACTACACCACTTTCGCGGCGCAAAAACGAGTGAGGAGGCCCACGATGCCGTCGTTCTTCTCATTGGCCCAACCTACAATCATTGGCACCGCCCTCCACTCATTCCTAATGGTTATCTGATGGTGCGGTTGTTTCGCTGCTGCTTCTCTCCACGTCGAGTGGTGAGAGTGAGGTGATAAGGGAAAACAGCTGATATCAACAAGTGAGAACTCGTGCGACCGCACCTTCTCTTCGCCTCAAGCACGTACAACCTCAGTTAAGCAAGGGGTTCTATATAGAGCCTTTCCTATGATTTCTTTCTGATTTTTCTTCACTAAGGGGTTACTTGCTACCTTGTTATAAGTATTTGAGCCGCATAACTCATCAAATTTGAATGCGGGCTCAGGCTCAGCCTTTAAAAACGAGCGTCAACAGATCCATCAAAAGCGAACATTGACAGAATAAAGGTGTGATCTGGGCAAAATTCCATCACTTTCTGAATACTAACGGTGGAGACCTGATAGAGGATAAAGTCTTAGCCGTCGATCAATCCTTTGTGGGATGCGGCACGCATTCTACTTCCATTCAGAATCGTAGTGGCTTATTGAATGCGATGTGGCCTATACAATGACTTGCGATGTACAAGTCAGTGTTTTATCCTCCCAGACGAATCTGGTACCAATTCACCGTCCCCGGAGGGTAGAAGGGATTCATTGGCCCGGGCGGAAGTCGACCTGGGATCCCAGGGACCAAATAAAGTGCAAATAAATGAGCACAAAGTACGGTGAATGTATTAGAAGCTAATATGATGAAAAAAAGCGTGTCAGGAAATATGAAGGGATCCTTAATCTTTAGTTAGCACATTTATGGCTTGCCTTGCAGTTCGAAGCAGTCTAGAACTTGTACAGAACCTTTACTGAACAGGGGAAGCAGTTTGCGACTACGCTGCGATACTATCGTGTTTGGTCAAGAAGTTGTAGAACAGGAACGAAGAGTAGCGGCCCAGGTCATCCAGATGAGAAACCTCAGTTTACCGAAAAAAAAGAGCTGGAGGTTGAGCCATCCCCTTTTTTCTGTCCTAATCTGACCTTTCAATAGCTGGTTGTTCCTTCGAAGGCTCTTTGGTTTTTTGCTTCGATGTTTTGCGGTTTTTCTCTGGCCTCCGCGTTGAAGTGACAGGACGTTCTTCCGAAAGATCTTCATCCATATCAGTACTAAGCATTGGGATATCCCAAGCATCGTCATCCCACAAAATCTGAAAAAAAGCGTTCATTTTGCAGGTTTATAGGATTCAAATGGTCCACCAAGACTATCAAACTAGCCACACATGCTAAGATTGAAAGAAAATTTGTCGTCGTTCGGCTTGAGAGGGGCGAGGTGTCAGTTGCGAAGTGGTACAGGTGAGCCATGTTAAGTACTAGAATTTACAGCTCTTCACAAGGCAGCGTGTGCATATTTCGCCAAGTGTCATTTGGTGCCCCCACCAAGCCGAACTGCGCCGAGAATTCAAAATAGTAGCGTTCTCGACGAAGAACTTCCTTCATGCAGGGAATGCTCACCTGTCTCTTTTCGATTTTATGTCCTGATTCTCCCTCTTGGATGGGTTTATTGTATAGTAGAAGGTCCGTTTTGTTGGGATGTGATATACGTAAGAGGTATTCAGGTATTATTGGTACTGAAAAATAACTACACTGTAATTATGGTTTTAATTACAGCATTGTTCGTTGCGGATGCTGAAGTGCTGCACTGGCTTTGGCGCTGGCCCTTTCTCCACCAGCAAGAAGCTTGCAGTCGACCACAATTGGTGGGAAACTCATTGGCACCGCACCAAACCGCCGGAACGCTCCAGCGCTTGCAGCGAAC